GGCCGCCGAGCCCGGCGCGGAGGTGCAGCGGGTCTGCCTACCTCCACGGCGTTAGCGGGGGGCAAGGCGGGCCGCCGAGCCCGGCGCGGAGGTGCTGCGGGCCTGCCTACCTCCACGGCGCTAGCGGGGGGCAAGGCGGGGCGCCGAGCCTGGCGCGACGGTGCCAACCTCCTGCGCTTTTGGACCTTAGTGTGAGTACCTGGTAGTACTGACGAGCTGGTTATTTGGCCGCAGGTAAAAAGAAGAGCTACTCGCGGAGCGTGGGTCCAGCCTTCGTGGAGGACAGGCTCAACGAGGAGCAGCGAGCCATGCTGCCTTCCTTCAGGAACACCACCTCGGAGAAGATCAGGGTTAGTATTTGGGACTCGCGACTCGCGTGTGTCTGGTATGATCCCTGTCCCTCTGGCGGGCGCCCTCCTCCTGACCTGCGCGTTCTGCCTGCAGTACTGCTGCCCCGTGACCAAGTATGACCGCCACGGCTACAAGCCCCGCGACCGCGCCCTGCTGGTGACGGACGACGCGCTCTACCTCCTGGAGGGCCGCACCTTCAAGCTGAAGCACCGCCTCGCCTTCGATTCGCTGCAGGAGATCTCTGTCACGGCGGAGGGTGACTCGATCCTGTTGCTGCGCATCCCCGCCGACCTCAAGAAGGATAAGGTATGGTTCTAGACGGAGGCTTCCAGGTCTCCCTAGCGACGGAATATTGGTTTACTCATTCACCCTCCATTTTTTACCAGGGCGACTTGATCCTTGAGGTGCCACACTTAATCGAGGCCGTCACCTTCATAGTAGACTCAGCACGGAAACCTCAGATGCTGAATATTGTAGGCTCTGGAACGTAAGTTTCTAAAATTTAATGTTTCCCTGCTCACTTTTGTTCTTGTTGATTGTGTGATTTTCTCACTATTGTTTTTTTTTTTTGTTCTTCTATAGCATATCTCACACATACAGTGGTGGCAGGCAGGGTACCATTGACATTACAACAGGTCCGAGTCCAGCAATATCCAAAAGCAAGCAGGGCCATCTTATTGTTGTTGGTTAGGTTCTTCACCTCATTACGTAATATCAGGCCCAAGTTTTATTCAATGCCATTCTACAGTGGGGAAGTGGTTTTGTTCATACAGTATGTATATTACATATACCTGTGACATATTTGTATGCATCCGTGACTTAAGTAGTTATAATTTATGTGCGTATGTGTGTTTCTGAGAGTGTGTTTGTATATTGCTGTGTATTAGCTTTATACCTTCCTACAAACTTTAATAATTTTGTTGGGCTGGATCCCCAAAGTTAAATTATGTGAATATGAAATCTTGTCTTGATGCCTAAGAGACATTCTGTCAAGCACATTTGCTACTAATGCCATGTTTATGCATTCTAAGTGGGACCACATAGGATGAATGAATTTATGTAAATGACATTAACAGTCTGTGATTTTTTTTCTGCTTGGCAGAAGTATTTTTAAGGTAAAGCACTATTGTACCAGTTTGTGTCATTCCGAGATGTTCTGAAGATGTTACATCCTGTCTTCGTGAAAGAAAAGTCTTCCGTACTTATTTTATGTCTTCTGTGCTTGGTCAGCTGAATCAGCTGAATGTATCATTTTCACGAAAGTTTTTTTGTGAGATGATAAAATCAGTATTGAGTGTCCTATTAAAAACTTAGACAGGCAGCTTTTGGTGCTACCTTTCCCCTCTTTATTTTTTGTGATTTTTTTTGTAGCTAGGTACTGTTATTTTAATGCATTTCTGTTCAATTGTTTTATTCT